ACCGTCTCGATCGCTTTTTATCTCTTATCCGGAGCATAACGGAGCAGGCTTGGGGTTTTTTGGAAACTTCGGTTGGCCTCTTTGTTTTGTTTTGTTTTGTTTCACACCCTCTTTTCGTGAGGGGGGTGGTGTTGTTGGTTGTTGGGTGCCGGGTGGGTTGGGGGGTGTAAGGGATCTAGTGGGCGTTCTCATTTTCTTTTGGTGTTTTTTTATCATGTATGTGTGTGTGTGTGTGTTGCGTTTTCAACCTCCCCCCCCCTTATTTGAACCCGAGTGGACGCTACGTTTTTCCTTTACTATCTTATTTTTTCGTTTTTTTGCTCTCAATTGCAAAATTTCAGGATTTTTTTTGGATTTCCGATTCTCCTACTCCTCTATCCCCCCCTTCCTTCCATTAGGTATCTTTCGAGATCTACACACCTTACTCTGTCTCCTACTACACACATGTTATCGCTACCAACTCATTCTTCTCCTGTCCTACTGCACTCGCACATGTCATCGCTACCGATATTACAACATCATCTACTACACTACCACCAGCTACTTGCTTCATCAACCAGCAAAATCTCCCTCTCAAATGATCTTCTCGCTCCTTCACTCCCTTTGCCTTTCCCTTCTCCCACCACCTCCCCCTTCTTTCCACCCTTCTAACCCTCTACCCTTCCCCTTCCCCCTTATTCGCAATCCCCACTTTCCACAATCCCCGTACTCCGTTTTTTCCACCCGCCTTATCTCTTATTTACCTTGGCACTGCTCAGTTCCGTTCGCTTGACCCCCTTTTTCTCTCCATAGCAGAGTGGGGGAGAGAGAGGAGGAGAGTGATACGGCACTGATGGTTGTTTTTTTGTTCGGTTTGCTAAGAAATGAAACTGGGTAGTTAAGAGAATGGGGAAAAAAAAGACGAATAAGAGGAAGAGGAAGAAAAAAGACAAAGCTGAATATGATAAAGAAGACGGTGGGAAAGACGGAAAGGGGGCTACTGGTATATCATATTTCTATCGTTTCCTATTTCCTGACTTTCTTTTTGGTTTACCTTTTTTTTTGCCTTCCTGTTTTAAGGGTATTGTTGGCGTTTGTGTTTTTTTTTTGCTTACTAAGAGAGAAGGAAGGCGGGTAGATGCATGGATGAAGAGTGGAGGAGAGAAGGAGAGGGTTGTGGAAATGACTTGATGCTTCATAAAATCTCATTCTTTTGTTTTTCCTTGAATGTAGTGGTGTAGGTTGTGTGCTGTGCGTGTATGTGATGGTGAATTTGAAGGCTGATAAGGGGGGGATGGGATAAGGTGAGAACACAAGATGCTGGGGAGAGTAGGAGATGATGATGATGATGATGTATATGTGTGGTTCTTGATTGAGTATTGCTTGGGTTATTTGTCTTCCTATGCCTCTTCATCCAACGAACATCTTAACTCGAGAGAGAAGAAGGGAGTATGACCTCATTGTCACTGTCACTTCTCATCAACCATCCCATTCTAACATCTGCCCTACCTCATGCTCCCCCATGTCCATTCCATCCCACCCACGGATCTCCCTTACCCTCCTCTCACACATACACACACCTCCATCGATCCCATCTATTCATAAATCCCAACCACAGCCTACAACCCTACCTCTCCACCTCCCTACGCCGCAGGTATATCTGGTACCTCGCTTTCCCTCTTCATTCCTTCTCGCTAAGCCGGAAACGAGTAATACACAACAACATACGATAGACAGAGAAATAGCACCAAAATTCCTTTCACTACAATACCAAGGATATTTCGCAAGATCAAGAGTTTGAACCTCTCTCTCCCTCTCTCCCTCTCACTCCTTTTTTTCTTCTAAAAACAAAAAAAAGGAACTCCAGGACCAGGAGAGATGTTAATTTTAAAGATTATATTCTATATTAAAGATTTGTAAATGTTTCCACCAAGCCCTGGCAGTTTGTGGGAAGAAAGAGAGAGAGAGAGGGGGGGGGGGTTAGAGTTTTTTTTAAAGTGCCGCAGAAATTTTCCTTGTTACCTTCTCCTTGTGGACTCCCGCAAATTCCGAGAGAGAGAGAGAGAGAAAACTACAGTGTATCTAGTTACTTCAGAGATAACTACGTATAATCCAATATAATCCATATAAATGCAATGACGGAAGAGAAAGTTGGAAGTGTGGAAGGGTAGGTAGATGTGGGTGTGCGAGGGACACGGGCATGTTGCATATACAGCAAACAGTGTGAAGGGGGGGAAGCATGGATAAAGAGGGGGGGGAGTGCAGCGTATGAGTTTGGAGACTGTGACGAACCTAGCTAGAGTGGATTGGGATTACAAAGTAAGTATCACGTAGACACTTGTAACATATACTTGCACAAACTCTCTTTCTTTCGTATTTCAAGAAACGGCGGAGTGTAAGGAGAAGAATATAGTGGATATATAGACCTATTTTCCACTAACCCCACAAGACATTACGAAGATATAGAAAAGAGAAACCCCCCCCCCCCCATCCCACTCACCACCTCCATTTCAATCATAAAAACCCAAAATCTTGTTCGCCCGATCAAGTATTACCTTCTCCCCGGGACCCAACCCAGGCTCCTCGCTATCCCACTCTAGCAGCCCCATAGCACGACATCCCTCGTCCCCAACAAGCTTCTGCATCTCGTCGGGCAAAACGCGACCGACATGTTCGGACTCGCCGATGCCGCTTCCGAAATCCGGGCTGGGGGTACCGTTGACGAAGGTGTTGCGCTGGCGAACGAGATGGTTCGCATTATCTTCTGTCATGGGGCAAGCGGGGATGTATAGGACGCTAGAATCCGAAGTGCCTTGGTGTTTCTTGTCGACGCTGTGGATGGTATCGCAGTGCCAGGCGACGTAGTCACCGGGTCGGACCGTCGGGACGTGAACCATTGTTTTTTGGAGGTGGAGATGCGGGTGGAGTAGGTTTGAGAGTTCCTGTCCGTGACCGGGTGTTGCGCCGTGGATCCAGGATGTTTGCGGCGAGTCCATTTCCCAGTTGTCTGGGGAGAGGAAAGCGGAGGTGTTGGTGGTTGCTTCGGATGCGGTTTGTGCGCCTGGTTCGACGCCGCGTTTGGGGGAGAAGAAGGGGCGCAGCATGTAGTATGCTGTTGCCTTGGCGAAGAGCGGGTTCACGAGGAGGGTGCCTTCAAGTGGGCGGGTTGTGGAGAGCGAGAGCCAGCCTTGGAACATGCGGAAGGCGTTGCAGGCTCCGACGCCCTGGTGGAGATCGGGAACAATGGGTAAACGGCAGCTGGCTTCCCAGGGATCAAATTCTTCCCATTTCCCTTTCCAGATCGAGTCGTACACTTTTCCAAGTCCGTATCCTTGTTCGTCCCAGCGCTCGACGCTGCCGCCGTCAACGTGGGGTCCAATTGAGAATCTGGCATCACCGGGCTGGCGCAGGCGCAGACGGTCGGCATAGCTTATCGGGTGCTTTGTAGAAAGTGGAATATGTGGATTACTGCTGTGCCAAAATGACATGAGGAAGCGGTGCGCCTTGAGGAGATTAGGGTTTCCGCGTGCGAGGAGCTGAGGGCGCGACCAGTAGAGCTCAAATACTTGAGGATTGTCGGCAGGAAAAGCTGTTCAATTGTCAGTCGTAATAAAAGCATGGAATATTTCAAATACCCACCCTTTGTCTGAGGGTTCTGCCGGATATATTCTCTGAGATCCTCCTTCCACTGTAATGCTTGTTGTTCCGACACTACGCCCCGCACAACAGCGACACCTCTCTCTCGCAGCTGACTACTAAAAACTTCAGGCGCATTGTCGATATCCTTGAAATCAATTTCCGGAATGACCTTGCTGCCTTGCTCAGCAATGCGCGGAATCTCATCGCGCAGGTTGCGAAGAAGGCGATCCCATGAATCCCGAACTTCACTTTCGTGACCCCGAATCAGACGGGCTTTGAGGTCTGCATATTCAGGTGTCAATGGCTTGAAGTCGTGTCCCGAAAGTGAGGCAAAAGCATCCGAGATATCGCCCGCGCGCCTCTGCGGTTGTGTCGCGACTGTGCGCACCTGTGTCGCAGCTCGTGTCGTCGGAGATCGGATGGTTCGCAATGCAGATAGCATCATCGTGAGTCGTTTGGTGGTTCTATGCGATTGATCCAACACTGCGATACTATCTCATTTCCTTTCCCCAGCATTCGCCCATTATATACGCTTCGCTGTGCTGTCGTAGCACGTAACACGAGTGAGATTCCGACATTGAACTGTTACTCAAGCCGTGAGCGCGAGATACTGTACCTGCGGAAGTTCTGCTCAAAACGGTATAGCCACATCTCCCGTGGTCCTTGCAGGCATATCCTCGTATCGGTTACCACGTGTAGAGCATCGTTTCCGACGTTCTCCATCGCACAACGTCATCCACTCCGGTGTTCGCGAATGAGCAGAGGCGGAACACACTCATCGGTGTTATATCCTGGGGTAGAGGGCGGGTGATACGAGGAGAGAGTGAGGGAAAGAGATCCGCCTGGAGCTGCCCAGTACCCCGCCATGCCACATTTTTCAAACATCACTTCCTTCCAAGTCACGTCGCTGCGCCACTTGTGGGAGGATAATAGGCAGGCTGAATGTCCGGCCCGCAATCCCACTGACCGCCCTAGCCACTGTGAATCCTGACGGGCAGAATGGACGCAAAGGTACAGCTTCGTCATGTGGGATGAAGCTATAACCTCCCGTCGGTGAGCCGGCCAAGCGGGGTCGCTGAACTGAATGAGCCATTGAGGAGACGGAGAAATTGAATATAGCCTACCAGAGTGGAACGAGACCATACCAAGATCCTCATCTGTCCTACTGCGCCTCTTGTTAAGCTCTTGTCCTTGGGTGAATGACGGTTACCGCGGGACGTCCTCCGCAGCCAACGCTGCAGTCCGGTCCCACGTATATGAAGAAGTAATAGCCGTCCCGCTGCTAGGAGCTCGAGAAATTTGTCATCTCTTTCTTCCTTTTCTCTACTTAGACCATTCAGTATAGAACACACTTGAAGAGATTGGACATACCGCAGCTCATCATGTCGCAATCATACTTTCCAAAGGATTTCCTTTGGGGGTTTGCAACAGCGAGGTTCGTTTAGCCAGGCCTTTCTCCACTCAAAAGTACCCCGCCCGCAAGGAAGGGCCACTTGATTGTCACATGCTGAGTTTTGGAATCTGCAGTTACCAAATCGAAGGCGCACCGCATGAAGACGGTCGTGCCGATTCCATCTGGGACTCGTTTTGCCGCATTCCGGGCAAGATTGCTGGAGGAGACTCCGGCGATGTGGCCTGTGATTCCTACCACCGTGCTGACGAGGACATTGCACTGTTGAAGGAACTTGGCGCAAAGTCTTACCGCTTTTCCCTCTCATGGTCCCGCATCATTCCGCTTGGTGGACGCAATGACCCAGTAAACGAAAAGGGTCTGCAATACTACATCAAGCTGGTCGATGGGCTCCGTGCTGCCGGCATCGAGCCCATGATAACCCTGTTTCATTGGGATTTGCCCGATGAGCTACACAAGCGATATGGGGGCATGCTAAACAAGGACGAATTCGTAAAGGACTACGAGAACTATGCCAGGGTGTGTTTCAAGGCATTTGGGTCAAAAGTAAAATATTGGATCACCTTTAACGAGCCATGGTGCAGCTCGGTACTTGGCTATGGCACTGGGCTGTTTGCTCCTGGTCGTTGCAGCGATCGAACCAAGAGCGCTGAAGGAGACAGCGCGAGGGAGCCATGGATCGTCGGACACTCCCTCCTCATTGCTCATGGTGCGGCAGTCAAGGCCTATCGCGACGACTTTAAGGCGCAGGATGGAGGCCAGATTGGGATTACTCTAAACGGTAAGCGATCACCTCGCGTCCAGATGCCATGTAGACAGAAACAGAAACTCTACTCGCGTGCACGCACGCAGTCCGCGCATGCATGTACGCGGTGGTGGGGAAAGCATGTCAGAATGGGCCTTGAAAGACGCCGCATGAATATATTGGTATGCTGATACATGTCCGTATAGGGGATTGGACGGAGCCGTGGGATCCCGAAGATCCAAAGGACCGCGAAGCGTGCGACCGGAAAATTGAATTTGCCATCTGCTGGTTTGGAGACCCAGTCTACTTTGGCAAGTACCCAGACTCGATGCGTAAGCAATTGGGCGATCGATTGCCAGAATTCACGTCGGATGAAGCGGCCCTGGTCAAAGGTAGCAACGATTTCTATGGCATGAATCATTACTGTGCCCATTATATTAGGCACCGGGATACTGAGCCGGAGCTGGATGACCACGTCGGAAACCTTGATATTCTGCATCAGAATAAGAAAGGCGAATGGATTGGCCCAGAGACACAATCCGTGTGGCTACGGCCGATGCCGTTGGGCTTCAGGAAACTGATCAAGTGGCTTAGTGACCGGTACGGAGGCCCAACATTCTACGTGACAGAAAACGGCACCAGTCTCAAGGGCGAGAATGATCTGCCTCTGGAGCAGCTGCTTGACGATGAGTTTCGGTGTGAATACTTTAGGGGTTACATTGGTGCATTGGCCGATGCCCATACCTTGGATGGGGTAGACGTCAGGGGTTACTCTGCATGGAGTCTGATGGAGTACGTTGATCCACTTATTCATACCCCCCCCCTCCTTCCCTCTTGTTTCTTTTTGCTGCGCGTATACTATGCCTATACCTGAACGACCCGCTTTTCTCGACGGGGATATTGAGCTGTAAGCGGATGGCCGGAGAAGCTCTGGCAGACCGAACCTTTTCTCCTAGCTTCAAACTGAACCAAACCTGGTGTTTGGCGAGTTAGAAGCAATAAGATCACAAGTATGTATGCTGACATGAGTTTTTGTAGCAATTTCGAGTGGGCCGAGGGCTATACGACGCGTTTCGGCGTGACCTATGTCGACTACAAGGGCGGACAGAAGCGATACCCTAAGAAGAGTGCGCGCGAGATTTCGAAAATCTTTGACAAGTACATCAAAAAGGAGTAGGAGATGGCGACGGCAGTGGCGTGCTTCAGCGTAGTCGGCAGGAAACGCCATCAAATCATCTACTAGAAGCTGAAATGCATTAGGCGCTTCTAGCACGTTTCTAGCGTTAGAGGTGTTTTTGTTTTGTTTTTTTGTCTCTTTCTGCCATGGCAGATATGGACTGACTTCGTAGTGGCTTTTTGCCTTATCCACATTCATACCACGTGCGGCAAGCTGAAAGACGCGCTGATTTTTTTCACCTCCATGAAGCCCTATGGAGCCCCGTGTGGATACAGCTGTTCCTCTCAACGTCATTTAGACCCGGAGCATGGCGCCATGTTAGGGTAGTCTTAGTAGCGGTTCTCCCGTTGATTCTGGCGCGGCATGGTCGCAATGTTGAATCCGACGTTGAGCAAACACCTGGTTGACTGCAGCCTAAGTGATGCTGGGCCAGTAATGGAAAGGACAGATGCAGGTCAGCTGAAAGGGTCAAAGGCAAGCGAATGTGTACTACAGCCAGACGTGCATGGCTAGGTATGCCCCTGCCCTCTCACACCCCTTGATGCAGGGTTTGAGACGCCACCAGGGACGGAATCAGTGTGTGAGTAAGTACAACGTACCCCGCAATTACGTCGGTGATGCATGATGTTTATTGTTGATTCAAGTGCAGAGAGTGCTGACAAGACATGGGGTACAGTGCAGCTGGGGGGGCTGAGCTGGACAGGTGGATGTCTCGTGTGTGGGCAGGGCTGTGTGGGCGGAGGGCGGAGGGCGGTGGGCTTTGAAAGCGAAAGAGAAATCTAATTGCCAGACGGGCGACGGACTGTCTGGCTGCAGAGGAACCATGGTTGCGCCATTGTAGAGTAACCTTCTAGCCTGCAAGCTAGAAGGTTCGGAGAGAGCTGATGGCGCAAGCTTCGTGCCTTGGCGGAAGGTGTCGGTAAGCGTGATCGGTAAGGGAAGGAAGGAGCGGAGGGAGGGACGGCATTAGCGAGGGGGAGAGGGGCAGCCGACGGAGAGCGGAGGGCGGTGGGCGGAGGGCAGTCAGTGGTGGATGGGAAGGAGCCAGCCAGCAAGCAGTCAACAGCAGCCAACAGCAGCCAACAGTAGCGGTGCAGCCGTGGAGGGAGAGGAGGCCAGGTGGGACAGGCCACCACCACTACCATCCACTACCATCCACTCCGTCGTCGGGCACGCCAGGATGCCAGGATACCAGGATGCCAGGATGCGGGCCCCGCAAAAGTCTAAATTCTACAAGCCTGTTTCAGAGAGGAAGAGCCTCGTGGCCGACCCCCAAGTCAGGGCCACTAGACACTGCAAGGCCGCCATAGCCCGTGAATTGAGTTCGTGTCTAGCAGCCGTCGTTCTCGCGTAGTACGTAGTGGGCATCTGCACCTGCTTCATGGCGGAAAATCGGCTCAACTCCGGCATCGAGGCGGAGCCAGGCGTCCAGAGTTTGGTAGCGAGACTTGGGGCGGCGCGAGGGGGGACGAAATGACCCTTTTGGGGGGCGTTCGGCGGCGTGCATTACACTTTTGGATCGACAGACCATGTTTACATTCCCATTCTGCGACCAAGCTGAGCGCGCTGGTCCCGCCAGGCAATGCAAGTCTGGTTGCGCAATCGCCGACGGGACACTGTGTCGTACGTCGCATTTGACATGGATGGCCGGGCTTGACCCTGCCATGTAAGTAATACTACACAGACAGCCATGATACTTTACCTCCTTACTGCCTACGTACTTAGTTGCGTATAGTTGCGTATCCAATGTTAATGTATGTAAGACGGCACTTGGGCCGGGCACCATCGACACTCCGCCCCTCTGCCTGCCTAGAGGCGTCGCGGTGATGTGCAGCCACCACACGTCCCGACTGGTAGTACAGTCGTGGGTTCCTGGCTCACACGCACCAGCTAGAGGCGATTGGAGGCAAACCAGCCGGGCGAGTGTGGGTGAGATGATAGGTAGGAGTCGAGCCAAACTACTGCTACGCCCATGGATCTGCCGCGCCGGGCCACGGGAGCCTGCACGGATGTGTCTGTATGTAATATTGCCCTACCCGTACATACTTACATGCTTACGTCTAGTATGCATATATGTACACACAGAACGGCAGCCTCTGCCATCAAGGGGCTCCTCCAGGTCCAAAGTGGGCGTGTCCGATTCATCCGACTGACTGATGGCTGACTGATTTGATGGATTGCCGGGCTGGCGGTTTGACGACTGACTGGTGGGCTCCCTGGGCCTGCCGTGGCTGCCGTCGTGATGCACGTTCGAGCAGTTGGACGTGGTTTCAGCGACAGCTTCGGTATCAACGGGCAGTGCGCGTGGCTTCTCCGCGGCGCACCAAGGGCCCTGCATCTGTTCTGGGTAAGGAAAAAAAATGGTTCCATATTGCATGATTCCTGCCGCCACGGCGTATTGACGCACTAAACGCAACAGAGGCGGAAACAGCAATCGAACGGCGAGCATGAGCAGAGGCAATGAGGCTAACTGCGGTGACTGCCGGGAAACGCGCACGCTCCATGCCCTTTCCTCTACGCCGCCGCCGCCGCTGCTGCTGGTGCTGGTGCTGCTGGTGCTAGGCAAATTGCAAATGAAGCGCTTTGCTTGACAAAATAAGACGTTCCCGTCTCAGATAGAAGACGGTGGTCCTCTTGATGTCAAATAACGCTCTTACTAGGCTCAATTAGATGGCTGCTGCAGCTTGGTGCGGCGCTGTCCCTTTCCTTCTTGCCCCCCACTCTCGCCCCTCCACACTACCCGCCCGTCGGTCGGCCTATCCACGCATGCGCACATACTCACTACACACACGCACACAAACACGGGCTCTGTACACACGCACACCCCCAACATCCACAAAATCACACCTCCTACACACAAATGCATCTTACCAGCACCTCTCACTGCTGCGCTCATATCCGTCATGCCGTCACAACGCCTCATTGCGTGCTCGGCCAGTCAATTCTCTCTTCGCGGCTCGCGGCTGGCGGCTTCTAAGCCTAGCGCAGCCGACGTGCATCATCATTTTCCATCACTCGAGAAACTTACCGACAGTCGCTATCGTCCAATATCGGCGCCAAGCTCATGTCGAGTGGCTGGGACAGATGTCCAGGTACCAGCGCTAGCCGTCCCCATCTGGTTACTAGCCACATAGCCTCACCCTGTGCAGCTGTGTCGTCTATAGAGCGGTGAGGGGCGTCTCGGAGGATTCTTGCTTTATCGAATAACTGGGGGGAGGCCATGGATAGCGCACTGCTTTGGCTATCGTTGAGGTGCCCTCACTGCACATCACTGTGTGCGCTGCCCCAAAATGACGGCATAAGCTTGGGCGGATCATCATTGGATTGGTACTCGTGACCTGAGCAAAAAAAAAATCCCTGTTGCGGTGAAGGATAATAAGTAGGGAAAAACAAAAGAGGGCGAGAGAGCCAAAAAAAGAGGGACAGGTCAAGCATCAGCCACAAGTCTTCCGAACATGGCCACTTTAACCATGTCGACGTACAAGGGCCCTGACGAGGAGCGCATCACGGACGCTGTCCCGTCTCCATGCCTCTGCCTCTGTCGCTGCCTCTGTGTATCCCTCGCCGTCTTGTTCTGCTGGGGCCCATGCGTCTCCCACAGAGCCCCGGCATTGAAAGCCCTGCGAATGACTGACTGACGGATCCGTCACGAAATCGTCCCACCCTGCAGCACACCCGATTTAGACAGAGCAGCTGTTTAGCAGTCATCATGCATGGCCAGCACACGGCATGAAACACAGCTGGATGGCGATGAGGCCACGATAAAGTTTGCGAGTGGAGGGGGTGGGAGTGAGGGGGGAAGGGAGACGCACGCACCCCCCGCCCAAATCCTACAGCAACAACAGGTGGTAACCAGCACACAGGATTAGCAGCAGTAGTGGCAGCCGTAGCAGTTCGGCAAAGGTGCTCCAATGCGAGATGTCACTGCAGGTAGACATGGCCCGTGGAGGTACTTCGGAAGCATCCTGGGCCAGCGCGCTTCGTGCCCTCTGCGGAGCAAGAGGAGGAGGACGGTCTAGCACAAAGGCCCTGACCCCGGGCATGATCGACGCGACGACGAGGGCGGGCAAGGTTCAGGCTCCCCCTACAGGTCATTCTGGCGGGCAGGGCCTGTCTCTACCAGGTAGCTTCTATTTACCAGCCTGTCTGCTTGTGCTGGCCTGGTGCCTGTCTGGTGTTGGCCTGGTGCTGGTGCTGGTGCTGATGCTGCCCTGGGAGATCCACAGCGGGCCCCCCTTCGAGGGTGCGCGCAATTGCGAGACGCTCGACACCCTCTACTCTGCATCCATGGGTCTTGACCGGCGCTCCGACTCTGAAGCAGCCAGCGACAGGGTATCAGGCGGCTTGGCGCTCTCGGGCTAATTTTTCTGCATGCAGGGCTTCCACGTGCGCGTCTTCTCCTGGCCGTCCTGGCCGGGCGGTGGCACCCTTGCATCCTGGTATCGCTTCACGTCGCCGCCGCAGGAGCCCACGCCATGCGCTCTTCAAACGTCACAATTTGTCCGTGTCTGGTCTGTCATCCCAAACCTCGCTACGGTCCGCAAACACGACCAGCTACCTGACTGGCAAGCGGTCATGGCGACATCACAGCCCTCGCTCTTCCGTCTTATGCGCGCCCATCTGAACCTGTCCTGGTGGGTCCCGTCGTGCTGCTCCTCTGTGCCCACCTCGCATCCGACCCAAGGTAGACCGAGGACGTGTGTCGCGCAGGAACTCGGCCATGCCACCCTTGGTGGGGGTGTGCAATGTCCCGGCCCAAAGCACCTCGTAGCGCTTTTCCAGAACAGCCAGCTGTCGCTATGCACATGCACGTTGGGCGAGGCTTCAATCGCCCAGCTGCCACCACCGTTGAGACTTTATTGACTTATCGAGGCCCTTTGCCTGTCCTAAGCGACTGGCCGCAAGCTGGGCGCACCGCTATGCCTCGCTCAAGCCTGGAAGTCACTAATGTACGAGCTAAAGTGAAACGATTTCCCCAGAGCCCACGTTGTGTGGCTATCCACCTAGAGCCAGGATCAGCGAGCCAACGCTAGTCTAGGGTCGAAGCATGGTACGCAGAGGCCGCCGCTACTCCCAATGGCCCTGATAGCAAGTTATAGGCGCATGCCAGCCATGTCTTGCATCGCTCTCAGTCGTGTCTTTCTACAGTTCCGTCTCGCCCATTCGGCCTTGCCGCCTCGTCTTCTTTGCTAAGGAAAAAAAATTATCCTCTTCTTTCACTGGCTTTTATTCTCCCGTCCTCTTAATACACTACCCGGCTCCACTCCCCACAACACATCATCCCTCTTGTCTCCATTGCTCTCCCCTCCCCCTCTTCTTCGAGGTCCGGGAACAGCTCATCACTCACAGCCGGCATAACCTGATATATTCACATAGCGCTTGGACCGCGTTTTGTTTGGGACACCGCTGACACAGCAACCTCGACATCGCATATACTTTCACCGCCTCTCGCGGATCCTCGATGACTTCAATCCTTCACTACCGAGACCCCATCGCCTACAGGAGTGACCACATGAGTACCTCCAGCTACCACTCACCTCACATGGATCAACAGAAGCGATCCCCGCCCTATGAGGGCCATTCGTCTGGCTCCGAGGCCAGGCAACTTACCCCCGGCGCGAAGAAGCGTCCATCGAGAGCTGGAACACGCAGCGTCACGACGCTCACTGCTGCTCAGCTGGAGCGGAAGCGGGCAAACGACCGAGAAGCACAGCGAGCCATTCGTCAGAGAACAAAAGACCACATTGACACTCTCGAGCGCCAAGTTCGTGACCTCACAGCCCAGCTCGAGAACAACTCTTCCACCAAGATGATGGATCTTATCCGAAGAAACGAGGAGCTCGAGCAAGAAAACGGCATGTTACGCGCACGCTTGTCGCATGCAGTCTCTACCCTTGGTGTTCCAGAACAAGGTGCTGGTATGTGATGAACTTTATTTCTCCCTTTCTCTCTCTCTCCCTCCCCCCCCAAAGCACTGTCCAATTGTTCCACCAGTGAAGTGGTCCAGCCGCTTCAGTTGCTTTTTTTGGTGCCTCGGGCCGCAGCCGTTCGAATGCAGCCACCGTCGTTCTCGCAGCATCATTACACATTTCTTTTCCCACTGTCTCGATTCCCATGATTTGGTTGGCCCCGCTCCCATTTAGCGGCGTGCAGCACCTGTAACATTTTGCTTGCTTTTGCTGTCCAGGCGAGACGATAACGCCAACTTCATGTCTGAAATCCAATGTGATGGAAGTGCATTTTCACTAACACCGACCAGGGGCACCCTCGCCCAGCGACCGCGTTCAGATGCTCAGCCAGCCCAGGAGGATGTCAACTGGGACTGCAAGGAGCGCACACTCTGTACCAGAGATTGCGACGCCCGTCTCACAACCAGCACATTGGCAGCCACAGCACACATATGCTCAACATGTCTCGTCACCACATGTCGATACCCCACCAGCCATGGGCGAAGTTCAAGCGCCTCAACACGAGGCTGTTCGCTGGAGCCCTCACCCTGGCCACCCCCAGCAGCAGCAGCAACCACAGCAGCAGCAACCGCAGCAACACCACCAGGTTTCGATGCCAGTGCAGGATCCATCGGTTCATGCAGTCGAGCAGCCGAGCATGTCCTACCCGAGCCCATATGTCATGGAGAGCAACGCCCGGGCCATGTCGTATCCTCTTGAGAACGCTTCCATGGTCACGTCACAACCTATGCCGATGTCGGGATACGGTACGCCCACCTCACACCCTTCTCCACATACTTCAGAGTACCAGCGACACATGAGTGTCCCGATGCACCATCAATCGGTTCAGGGCCAGGCTCCTGCTCAACACCAGCAGCACCACACTTCGGCACCCTATGGCTCATATGCTGTGGGACCCCAACAAGGCTACCCCCCGCAGGTCAGCCATGGCGGTGAAATGCCCATGATGCATGCGCAACATGGCCAATCTCAGATGATGAATGAGCAAGGCCAGCACATCATGTATCAGCCATACCAATCAAACATGAAGGTTGAGCATTGAGGGGTGACCCGGCTCGTCCAAGCATGTTCACAAAATCCTTTGTGGCTGCCAGACCGTTGGCCAAGATGTCGGGTTCGCAATCATTCATAGAGCCTCGAATTCTAAACATCGCCTCAAACAACCGCGCTACATGAAACAACATGTTCTTCACAAATCTGACGGCAAGCTACAACTCACCATGACACGCGGCACAGCAACGATAAGCCTGTAGAGTACTTGGCTGCATCTAAAAAGGGCACCGCGAAGGGCGTTCCCAAAGCAGGGGCGTTGACCGACTCCTCGATCTTGTGCCTAACGGCAGAGCGCGATCTTGCGGGAATTGCTAGGGACGACCATGCCACGATCCTGCGACTTTTGCGCTAGGTCAAGGCAACCTATAGGTTCACGGCATGGTTGCGCACCGTGCAGCTACTCCCAAGCCTGCACTCGGACGATTTCGTATCCGTGTTGGAGTCCCCCCAACCCCCCAACCCCCCACGATCGCATAAAACACAATGAAACAGCGACACGGCAAGACCCACATTTGGACAATTGGGTCAAATCCGCTTTCAACTGCCCACCCGCGCCACCAATGAAACTACAATGGCACGCTATCAACGGCGTGTGCAGCTAGCGAACGACCCTGGAGAGGCTAGAGTCGACCAGACGGTGAAGAGGTGGATCTGCTGATGGCGTGGAAGCTTCTCAGAAGACGGGAAATGAGCAATGGAACATTCCGCGAATCCTCCATTGGGTCCGCGGGATGTGAGAGCGTTGGGGTCGCCTTTTTTTTCGTTTGGCTTCTCGCTTCAGCTTCTCCGAACGTCTGATTGGGACCGATCCTGGCAATGCAATTCTCCCGAGCTTTCCCGACTTCCGATGACCGCAGCCGTCTGCAGCCCGTGTGATGCGCGTTTGCGCGAGACGAAGACAAGATGACAGCAGGGTTTGCCCCACATACGCTACAAAGATTGCTAGAGTTTCCCTGGATGGGCAGACTAGTCGCAGCGCTGAAACGTCGAATGCCAAATACAACTACACTTGAGCCGACCAAGGAGCAACAGCCCACGGATCCTCGGCTACGACGCGCAACATCAGCATGTCGTGCGCTCTGCCATTGCCATGTCTCCGGCACTACTGACCGGCAGCTGCCCGCCCATGGGTCTCCCAAAAGCGCCGTAGGACCGAGGCCAGCAGAAATTTTGGTGGCTTGACATCCAGCCTGCGCTGTCGCCAAGCACAGGGTGTGGAGTCCATGCGTGGCTTCCCGCGGATCCGAACACATGGGCTCGGGCACGCTTCCATCCAATCGCCACCATGGGCGGCCCAGGCGGGTCGTGCTCTCCATGTTCATGTCTGCACTGGGAAGCGTTCCCGACCTGTACCTTGCCAAGTGGATATCAGCTCACCGCATCGCTGCCTCTCGCTACGCATCATGGCTGCCGGCGTGCAGTGGTGTGCTGGTGTGTCACACCGCATGAACAGCGAGGGTAGTTGACAAGCGTTGCAGAGAAGCCGTTGCCGCAGAGTTTCATGGGACATTTTGCATTGCTCTACTCAACTATGATGACGGCTTGTCTGCCGATACCGCTGCTTGCTGCGCGCGAATCCGTCTCAGTTCCTCTGGATACCACCGCTCTCCCACGTCAGGGTGGCTCTTGATCCGGTTCATGAGCGTCGCTTCACCTAGATGACCCCATCGGCCCTTGACAAAGGTAAATTCAACATCATCTCTTCGCTGCTTCCTCGCCTCGTCTCTCAGCTTGAGAACCTCTTCGGGGACGTCCATGGCTTCGAACTGTGCGTCGTAGCTTACACCCTGGAAGAAGGGTACCGAGTACCGCGCCCCTTCTCCCTTGCGAGGACTGAGCACGCGATGAGTTGTTGAGGCGCAGACGCCGTCTGTCAAGGCCTCCATGCCCTGCCCTATCGCCACAACCAGGGTGCCGGGTATGGGTGGGCAATCTATCCATTCGCCTTTTGCATTTTGCGCCTGCAAACCTAGCTGGTTGGACGCTTGCAACAGGTAGCTGGTCAGCATGCTGTCTTTGTGGGGTCCCACACCTTGGCGTTTAATCTCCCACTTCTTACGATCCATCTCGCTGGCTCCCTGCGGCAAGTCTGGTACGTCAACCTCGGGATACTTTACTATTTTGAGCTTGTGCTGCTGGTCACGATCAAAAAACTTGTCAAAGGCCGTAGCGGGAAGATCGATTGCTTCAGCGATAAGTGAAGTGAATAGCGTCGAGATGCGGGCCATGCGTTGTATATACTCTTCATACACGGGCCGAAAGTTTGGGAGATGCTGTGGCGAAGGCCACTGATTTGGTGCGAGAAGGTTATGGTAAATTGGCGCCTCTGGTCCCGGAATGGGATGCGGTGTTGAGAGGTCGAGTTGCTCTCTATGATCTGGATTGAAAGCCGTCGTCTCATTGTCGAGCTGCAAAGGAATAAGCATTTTGTCAACATGCGATCTTTATTATTTTACGAGTCGAAGGAGAAAAAAAAATACGTCAACATGAACAACAACAAGTACACAAAGGAAAGAAAAGAGATATGTTTGAAACGGAAGAGAAAGGGGATGTAAAAAAGGAGGGGGGGAAGCGTAATGGCAGTTGGAATGAGTTGGGACTTGTCGATATGACGATTGCGAGTACACATTTGTTTGTCGTCGTGTCTTTCGAAACGGATATACCCAGATGATTAATTGTTTTCCTTCTCTTTTTTTTTGGTTGGTTCTTTGATATTCTTTGCTTGGCGGATAGTTAACTTGTAGCATTTTTGGTTGGTAATCTGCTGCTGCTTTTGTTTTCCTTTTTCTTTCACGCATCACGGGTTCAACGGCCGGCTGTTCTGTCTTCGCCTTTTTTTTCTGTACTATAATCACATCATCCTCTTCTTCTTCTTTTTTACCCGCTCCCCCAACCCTCCCGCAACCGAAACCTATAGCGCCATGCACATATAGAGCCTTCGAGTTTAAAGCCTTCAATAGACCGACCAATATCTTTTGCGGAATTCTGTGTACGAGAGACTCTTGGAAAACGTGATGTCTTTGAACAAGCAAAAAACAACAACAACAACAACAACAACCGCAAAGTAAAAAAATCCAATAAGGAAAATTAATAGCAAGACAACTTACCCTCGACCAACCCAAAAAACTCTTCTCATTCTTCATTTCAATCTTCTCCTTCTCCTCCACGGGCAAATTCTCAAAGAATCCCCGACACTCGCTAATCACAGCTTGCACCAACTCCTCCGGCAAGCCCGTCTCGCTCAAGTACAAGAACCCGACGTGCAGCAGCGCTGACCGCAAGTCGGCCAGGAACGCGGGTTTCGTGTTTGGCGCGAGGGCGGCGCTGAGTGGCAGGATGGGGATTTGGGAGAAAGGTTGGAGAGGGAGGGGGGAGCGTGGGGGCGACATTTTTGCGTGGGGATGGAAAATGGGAGGGGGGGGGGTAAAAGTTGGAGGTAAAGTATAGTTCGCTGTTTGCGGTTTGCGATGTGTATAGGAAAGGCGGGGTGGTAAGAAAGGGATTGAAACTTGGTTGTTCTGTAGACTGGCTTCTTTTTTTTCTTTCTCTTTCTCTCTTTCTCTCGTGGGTTGATCACACCACTGTTGCTGGCTTGGGCTGAGTTGGCGGGCAAAAAAAAAAGCACGTCGCTGTGTTGAGGTGTTGCGTGCTGCGGGGTAAATTCGGAGAGAAAGAGAGAGCTGGCTGGATGGGTTACGCAACCGCCAACTGTTTGCCTTGGGTCTGGCGGGGCCGGATTTGGCAACGGCGACGGCTACTCTCGTGTACTTTTTTGGGTGTTTCTTTTTCCTTTTCGCTTTCTATTCTTGGTGCTTTTTGGTGTATGCTTCTTTTGCATTTGGCTGGGCTAGATTTGATAACGTGCTTTCCATGCGAGTGCTAGGCCGAGGGCTGTGAGTTTCAGGCTGCCAACGACGATGAGGCTTAGGGCGGCTTCGAGGACCATGGCTGGATGCTAGTCTTGAGCGTTTTTTTTGGATTTTGGGAAAGAGGGGCAAATTGCTGATATAGAGAGTATATGATTTTGTATTTTGAGAGGAGTAACTACATGCAAAGAAGCCTCTTTATCAGTCCAAGTCGACTCCAAAAGAAGCTTCGGGATTTATATCGCCATGCGTACAATCTTTCCGTCGACAAGTCCAACTACACGGCACTATTGATGCGGAAATCCCGTTGTTTGCGTCGTGCGACCTCATCAGAAGATGACGGCGTGCCGTTGTTGGACAATCGAGAGTGTGGAGTGAGGCGACGACGAGATCCACCTGTCTCCAATCCACTGCGTTCGCTTCAGTCTGGAGTAACTCTCTTCCCAACGAGATTACTTGTTCGCAACTACCGTTGGTCGCCTTACAATCTCGCCTACTCTCTTGATCCCTACACTCAACATCATCCAGCACGCGTCATGAGGTGCGGGGTCATCGCGTGCCATACCCGTTGGGCTTCTACAGACTGCGCGCCTTGCATGATACGGTGAAACCGCGTGGCAGATGCCTGCTGGACGCCGGAAGGAACAGCTCGAGACGAAGAGAGGCTGCGTAATCTCAAGTACGATACGTCCGTAGCACGCATACGGGTTTACACGATAAACCCGTACTTGGGCTGGAATGAGGCTGTTGTGCAGGTGTAGCGATTGGCCAGAAGAGTCACGTGGTGATGTGCAAAACCACCCAGGAACTTAATTCAAGCCACGACCTTTCCAAATAAGCACATGCGATAAGACGTTGATTTCATCTCATGCATATGCAAGATGAGGCGCACTTTGGGACCCCTAAAATTTGTCTCCAAACCTAAAACTGGGCACATTGACTGTCTCCAAGGACCTTTTTCACATGATGCCGCAGCTGGAGGTCCTGCAGCTAAGATTTCGGCACGTTATCCCACGACAACAAGGGCATGCTTCACCGACACCGAAATATCCCCACTTATTCTCCCCTAGCCCCTACCAGCGACCCACAGCGATAGTGACCCGTGCAAGTTAACAAGTAGCCCTCTGTGGCATTTCGCGACAAGCGCTAGAAACACTTGTTTAAGAAAAGACAACCCTTTCGATATTAACAAAGTACCGCCGAAAGATCAGATCAATATATTCACTAAGCCCCTAGACCCATCCACCCTCGACCCCCTACCTTTCACTCCAAGACGGTACCCACACCTCGCAATAGTACCCACATCTTTCCTAGAATGTTGACGTGCATACATTGATGTTACAATCTTGCCATCGGGAAACTTTAACTGCAAACGGGCAAGGCCCCAAGACGCGCTCCTTTCCATGTACGGCCAATACGAGGTGCGACCAACGGGAAAAAGCAAGCAGATAGCCGACTGCGCCACATGCATCATTACACTCGGAGCCTACGACAGCAAGTGCAAGAAGAGCCAAAAAGCAAAAAAACAGTAGACAACAAAACTTACGCAATCCCTGGCCTGGAGCTTCGCCATGGCCCCTCGCCACCCACCCCACCCCTTGACCCTGCCAGCGTTACAGTCTATGCATGGGCAAGGGTTACGTGATGTGTCAAAAGGATAATTCTGTCTGCCTATGCGGCTCAGGGAGAGGAGAAAAGAGAGTGCGGAAGCGCACGACCGTCGCGGATCGTTGCAGGCGGAAAAGAACCACCATGCAAAGCCGCCATATCCACCCATGCAAGACCTTGCACGCTTGCGCAAAGGCAAAAAAAAAGTAGGCACCGTCACGAAAGTATTAGTCTTCGTTCGCAAGGTGTGTCTGTCGTCCCCTTGCCAGACGCACACACACACACACACACAAGCATGCCCGCTACCTAAAACAGTGTGCTGCGATGTCGGGGCTCCCGACTGCCGCGCACAAGGGTACTTGTTCGAACTAAATCAATCAATCAGACAAGATGGCGCCCTTTTCTCTTTCTCTCTCAGAGATAAACATGGGTATATTGGGAAGTGATGGGGGGGGAGACTGGGGATGGGTGTGTGTGTGTGTGTCTGTGTGCCCTCCCACCCCTACACAGTAATGTGCTTACACACCCTCACACCAACCAACTTTATATTCAAAATTGGCAAATGGGTCGGGTAGGTGTGTGGGTTGGGGGTGGTAAGGAACAGGAGAGAAACACGAGATATGGGGTGGTGTGTGTGTGTGTGGTTGATCGGATAGAGGATAAGGATAAGAACTGGCTACACAGTTATTTGCCTATACGAACATTTGTCTACATACTTTTCTCTAAAGTTACCCACTTACCTATTTCGACCCGGCGTTGCAACAGGAGTCGTCGTTGGTCTCCACTTATCGGAAGAAGGAAAAAAAAGGGTAGTTTCCGCATGGACCCGGGGCCCAGAAGTGGCCGCTTGCGTCGTCGACACATGACGAGTTGGCCGGAGTAGTGTACCTAGCAGCAAAGTCTTACATTTCGCAATTCCTCGGACGGTAAGTGGGTCCCGCGGAAAAGAGGCCGGTGATGGTCAGAGCGAACCAAGCATGCAAGAGAGAGAGAGAAAGCAGAGACAGAAAGAGAGAAAAGAGAAGTCAATAACATGGGTGTGTGTGGCCCACCCATCCCCACTTCTTTCCTCTTCCATCTTTTCTGTGACTACCCTTTAGCGGAAGAAGCCATACATGCTTGTCTTGGAAACGGTTTTAGCAAAGTAGGCGGCATGGTTATGGGTCTCCGCGCGTGTCTGTGTGGGTGTATTGATACGTAAGTGCCGCGTCGGGTATGACCCTCGAGACGGCAAGAGGCGCCGGTTCGGGCCTGCTCTATGCCCTTGTTCTTCCCCCTCCCCCCCCATCGCTTGCGGAGGCGGACGATGCGGATGGGGACGGGGGAGGGGGGGGTCTTAATGCTGGTCGCGGGCTTGCAAGCATACGATACTACGTACGGTAACTTTTGTTGTTATATGAGACCCGTTTTATTAAGGAACTGTTTTGTCAATATCCGTTGTCTCCGATGTTCGAGATGCTGGGGTGCACCCCCGTCGAGGGAGTAAGATTTGTGGTAGTAGCTTTGTTCGTTTTGAGCAACCCTCTTTTTTTGTAACTCTGCTGTTATATGTGTAAGGGGGGCTGTGCTATAAGTATAAGTGCTATAATAGGACTTTTGACCGTTGAGATAGGTGATACAAACAAGCATTGAACCCTGGCCCCCTTTGATCGTCGCCTTTCTCTCTGCACTACATATGTATGGATGGTTTCCACTACTACGGGCCTTTTTCTGCTGTCGGCCGTTACTCGTGCTGTGTTTCGAGTTTGTTATAAGTGCGCCCTTTAGCAGAGAGTAAGTAATAGATGCGATATTGTTTCGATGACATATCGTTCCATGACAGGTCGAGTAGATGTGGTTGATTTGTCGTATGCAGGAGTCCTTGTAGATATTTCGGCTGCCGTTAGCCATGTCATGTATTGTTGACACAGTGTTTGAGTTATATCTTTTGCCTTAACCCCGGGGCGGATGATGAAAACGATCCCAAGTGCATTTACATACTGGGTAATTATTCCGACAATCGAAGCGTAAGTGCAATGCACCTGGCATTTAACTTGAGCATGAAAGAATACTACAGTGGCAGGGAATCGCTAGTATACGTAGTCGTCTACGCAACTACCAAGATACGATGTAGTATTGCATGACCGAAATGCTCATTCGCCCACATAGACAACGACAAGAATACACACAGACAGAGTGTAGCATCATATGACCAAAATTTCTCGTTCGTTCACATAGAAAATCATGAAAATACCCACCGGCACAAGTATTCACTTCTGCTTCAATGGAGAACTCGGCTCATATTGACCTTCACCAGTTCATCCTGAAAGAGAGAAAAAAACCCAGAGACAAAGACCAGCAGAGTCCCTAATGCCTACCCCAACAAGACCAAGCATATCGTGATAAACCATTGCAAATCCCAAGTCCAGCCCATCAGCCAAACCGACAGTTCCCCCGCTACTCCTTGAAGAGAAAGATAAAGCCCCTTAGATATTGCAGCACCCATCATCAATATAAGCACACCCATCAGCACAACAATTGCACGCCTCTAGATATCTACTAGTACCGCATCCAAACGTGCAAATAGTACAAGCAGCAGACTGGCCTCGCTTCTCCACGGCCGCGATCTCGACAGTGAGGTCAAAGACACGCTTCGAGTGGCTGAAGCCTATGGCGCGGGGCTTCCATAGCGGCCCGCGTGGTGGGAGTTGCTGCTGCGGAGGTGGAGAGGGCGAAGAGGGTTGCGGTGAGGATGATTGTGATTGTGGTTGTTAGATTGGGGGGATGGAGTGGGGGTGGGGAGGGGGAAAGTACACTGCATGATGACAACAGTAGTAATAGAAGTTTGTTATTAATTATTAATACAGTTAAAAAATTTGTTCTTACTATACAATTAGTATTAAATCGTTACTAAAAGCTAGACTAACAATTGCACT